CTAATGTCATAGTAAACATTCAGCTGAGCGGTGTTGTTACTTTGCACGAAAAACGATTTCCCATTGTTTACAAACCATTTATTTTATTTTAAACAAAAACCTAACTAAAATTATGTCCATAGAGCACAACCCTTCTTGTAAACTCTTCAGCTGGTAAAGGAAATACTGCCTTTTATGAAACCCAAAAGTTCATTTGCCATTTTCATAACAGCCCGCTAGTGTACCCTATTATCATCCACGGTAAAAAGAAAACCCAGTCCATATGTCCATATCCTATTTCTTTAAAATTCATGTTAATATTCATTTCATCTACTCCTGTATTTTGCAAGTTTCTCCTCCTTTCAGGATTTCTAATTGCCAACTCACAGCACAGGCTTTTATACATCTACTGTAGTCCACTTTTTCGATTTAAAATAGGCTATTACTATTGATTAGTAACCGACATAAATAAAATATTTCCACTCAACGTGAGTACCTAATTTGATTGTTTTAAGGTGCACAAAACATACTGTAAAATTACAATAGACTTGAAATTTGTATTTTCATAACATGTGTAACGATTTTTGGAGATGACATTTAACGAAAAAAACCAGTTACGTTGTGTGTTTTTCAACAGTAAGATTACTTTGACAAATTGTCAGCTAAGTACGCGGTGTGTGATCGGTGTTATCACAGAGGAGAGTATATATAATCCCTCTTTCATATTTAGTCCCGTGTTAGCATACTACAGACTTCATCTATCTAGAGCTAAATTCTGTAAGCTGAACACGAATCTATAAATGGAATCTGTGATTGAGTTAATGCAGTATAACATCGCGTCATATAGTACACCACCCTCACGAACAAGCATCCTCATTAAAGACGTTCCAGCGCAAAATGCCTGGGAACAAAAGGGGGTGGATTTGTAATCGGTGCCATTACAACGTGTAACGCGTTTTAAAGAAATGAGAAAAATGGAAAAGTAAAATCCATCAAGGAACATTAATGAAATAAATGACATGGAGAATGGAATGGAGGAGAATGATTATTCGAATTAGTCAAGTGACTTGAGCAACAAAGGATATTTAACCACTTAACCTTCATTCTACTATGCCTATGTGTCTCTGTCCTACACTTATTCTCGGGAGTCTACTCTTTAGAAAATGTAATTATATTCATGTCTGTAATGTAAAGTCTCTCCTTTGCAAAACATCTTTCTTGTCTTTTTAAGATTTCGTATATATTAAACACTGGCAAGCATTACATTGCATTAAACAGTAAATATCTGTCCAAGGACACGATATATTAAGTAAGTAATAAACTTATCATAATAAGAAGATTTCTGTCTTCTGGGTTATTGCGCTGTGTAGTCTGGTCGATGTTAACCAACGTTTCAGAGGTCATACTGCCTCCGTCATCAGGGCGATCATCGCCCTGATGACGGAGGCAGTATGACCTCTGAAACGTTGGTTAACATCGACCAGACTACACAGCGCAATAACCCAGAAGACAGAAATCTTCATACTCACCGCTGTGAGAACCTCAAGTCTTATCATAATAACATCTTGATAAACTCACAACAAACTGGGAGCTAAAACAGACAATGTGAATCTGACTTGTATCACTGCTTGTTAATATTACTGAAAGATGAGTGTTTGGGAGCCGTAACCCCCCCCCTCCCCATCCAGTGTCGTGGTAATGACCCCAATATTGAAAAACGCCTTACTATTCACCGGACGTTTTCGATTCGTGAGCCTTGTTAGTTCTCTAATAATGAAACTAATAAGGTAACATTCAGGCATGACGAATGCGTAAACAAGGCATTGTATTGTAATTACGCGCCTTTAAGCGTGCGGCAGGACGGTCAAATCACCTGGTAGGGTACAGAACACCCTTCTCGCAGCACTTTTTAACACAGGCTCCACGCCCATGCCCTCAATCCGGTTAAATCGCTCATGTGTAACGAGAAATATACACCCACTCTCCCAAGGTTTTCCGGTAAAATTGCATTTTTTCGAACTGATATGTTGAATAAATAGCCCTCTGGTGCCGAAGAGAGAGAAAGAGGAAATTGGTGGGGAGAGAAGTGAGAGACACTTCGATTTCGGGGGGGGGGAAGAGCATATTATAGTTAGAAGGTCCCCAGGCAATGCCCGCTCGTCCTTCTGTTAAGGATAAAGTAAGAGTGAAGACGTTAGTGCGATAATTGGCAGAAAAGACGGAATTTTGAATTTTGTATTAGAGAAAGCTGAGGCTATTAATTTGGAAGTTTAGCACAAAATTTAGAAGTTTCTACAATTTAGAAGTTCCTACTCTGGTGCCGAAATTCGTCTAAATAATATTTAAGAATTCGGTTCGTACCGCAAAGAAAACACAACGCCTTATCATTACAGAGATCGACTTGTTAATGCTGTTTAAGGAAATCACAGCTGTAATGGCACATGCAGTGATATGAGTGGAATAAGTTTAATCCGTACACACAGTGGATTATCTGCAAAGGTTCCCGGCTGTTTTCTATCCTGTAATTTCAGTTTATATAGCAGACACTGCAATTAATCTTGATTTGCGGTCGCAAGATTTCCAATTAATTTTTAACGAAGGTCTACTTAAAATCATTACATGGCAGCTACAAGACGATTCCTTGTTAACTGCCGATGGCTAAGAGGCTTACTAGCTTCAGTCTGTGAAATGTGCGTGGCAGAGACGTGTGCTACTCCACTTACATACTTTCCAGCATATCGGGGCTCAGCGCTGGTGGCGTACGGTCTGAGAATTTATAGTAAAAAGTGGTGTTGAAATAAAACAATTCAGACTTACATATTACAGATGAGACGAGTAAACCCATTGGGCATTTTAAGTCCTCACTACGACAAAATATTCATTCGCTATTACAATGTTTCGGACTCCAATCTTTACAGACATGTTTTCAAACACATTTACTAAGCGTTAATTAGTTGCAAGCCTGACGAAGTCTTGAAATATACTCCCAATTTCCCAAAAACTACTGTACACAGAGAATTAATGCATTCAAAGAAGGAGAGAAGAAATATAGCAGTCAGCTGTAGTTAACACGGCCATAAACAGGAATCCAAGCTTTCGTTTCCACATGATTTATTTGTGGAGCATCTTTCCACTTATTTTTCGTGCTGACACTCTAATATAGCACATATAGAAGAATGGAGCAGAATTCCTTTCCGTCATTTTCGCCACGAGCCTCATTCCATCACAATTTAACTCAGAACACTTTCTACCTCCTCCCGCCAGCTTATGCTTTCCATATTTATTTTATTTATTTAGTGTTCTGTCTGACGACAGGTCCATATGAACAGGATCCTTCCATCCTTTTCTCGGACTGGGACCTGTTCATATACGTTCTTGGCAGATGATTCAGAAGTGGTTTGCCATTGCCTTCTTCTGTGTGTGAATGGAGTAATTGTTGGGATGCCACGGAGAAACCGGGGAAGAAGCCCGCGGAGGAAACCTCCGTGTTGCCTAGACCACGGCCTTGCCCAACACAAGTTATAAATTCGGGCACCGCCGGGAATCGAACCCGAGACCCCAGGATTACAAGGCCAGCATTCTATCCGCTAGACCACCGTGGCTACATGCTTTCCATATAATACGGTTTAAACTGACAGCAGTTGTACATCACTCGAAAAGCTTCGAAATGTCGTATTTTCACCAGATCTGTATATTGACTGATGATTATTGATACTAACAGCTTTAGATCATTACATCAGGGAGCAACTATGATTTGTCATTCGTCTACAAATATGTCGCTTATCGCCAACCAACAGTTGTTTTCCTAGAATCACAAACACGTCGCAGGCAACGTGTGTACCAGTGTGTTTACTCAACTGTGTAACCTGCCTGTGGGGACGTTGTAAAGTTGATTCATCACTCTCTATTCTAAAGACTGCGTTTCCACATGACACTCATCTTTCATACTTAGCACCTGCAATGGCTTGAACACAGCTAATACGATGCTTGAATGAGGCACTAGATCTTCAAGACTCTGAAGTAATGTTTCGTGGGAAATATCTGAGTACAGCCTGCGTGTCAGGACACTTTATTTTGTTCTGACTATTGCTAATGTTTACAAATTATTCAAAGGCAATTAGAGATAGTGCGCAGATTAGGACAGTGTAATTTAAATGAAAAACTAGCTATGATTACTTTATTCAACTCCATTCTCCAAGACAATTACTTTATTTTATGCATTATCGTTTGTTATGCAAGCAAATGGAATACGTAAAAGAAGTGAAAGACTTCACACACACAAATATCAGTCACCAGAGAAACACAAAGAACTCCTGTAAATTACGGTATGGAAAATCAAAAAGATTGAAATATAACATGAAGATGATTGTTTGGAAATGTGGTGGTAGGTGCATTGAAGTGAGTCAGGATTGTTCTTTTGAAAGGTTTTATAATGTACATTCAGGTTCAGCTACCATAGCGGTAGTTCGTTTGAAGATGTCTCACATTTAAGAAAACACATAAATCTTGAAGGAGAGTATGTGGTAACAAGTTTAACTCGAAGCTTCCTTTCTATGCGACTTGCCTAGTTTTATTCTATTTCACCGTTCGGCTACTTGCGGCAAATAATTGGGATGTTAATTATAGAAGCAACGGGCAAATGACGCTACTTCCAAATATATTTTTCTTACGCAATCATAAATTCAGAATAATGCAAAGTATTTCACTTTCATCGACTCAGGTTGCCAAAATATGCTATAGGCTAATATTTACAGTAGGAACAACATATTTAAAATACTAAGAAACGCGAAGAAACGGACAGTCAGATGTGAAGACCTTTCTCTTTAGTCTACCTTTGTTTGATTATTCTCATTACTGAGCCTCTTATATCAATAAACTCTTCGTTTTTACATAAATACTGCCTAAATGGTTGCGAAATAAGAATTTGTGTGCTAACGTTTAAATTTAGCTGTAGTTACAGTGACATCTATGAGGTACTATCTAAACTGTTTGAAGGTAGTGCACTCTCTCGGTCAGTTCGATGTTTGAACTCGATTAAAACAGCTGTTGTGATTTTATCTCGATATGTATGGAATATGAATAAATGAAGAAAACTATTTAAGCGAAATTTAAAGGATTTAATTTTGTGTACTTAGAACAATATATAATTATTATATTATAAGAGCAGCATTCTTGTGGTGTTTCTGTTGTGCTGAAATTGTCATATACGTCAACAAGTACGTCACGTTGTTTTATTAATGTTGTGTAAGTGAAATAAACTGAATGCACGCTACCATTCGAATTTTAAAATGAGATACATATTTTATTGAGTTTTACGAGTGGCTTAATCTGACAGATGTGTACATCAGCGTTTACTTTATCAGTAGCACTCATAAGACTCTTACGAAGCAAAAATGACGTTCTAACATAACCTAACCAGCAGCAAGGATGAAATATCTAGGTGAAGCCAATCGTTTCCATGTATGCCCAATCATGAGTACAATATACTGTGTAAAAGTTTAATGCAATTCTGTTACAGCACTCAAAGCAAATATTGTCAATACTCAGTATGTTATGTATGCAAATGATGTGGGTGACAAGGCAACCCTTGCACTGTGACTATTAACTGATCTTTTTTCAGTATGTTAACTTTTCCTTCTAATTATTCTGAATTGTGCAAGAATCAGTTTTTCAGCTGGGTATTAATTTAGCCATAAATATCATGGTTCATAAAATATCAGCACCACTATCTCCTCATTCACACAGGTGTACTGTATGCAATTCCACACTCCTGTATGGTTTTATTTAATTTCAGCCCTTCACAATGACGTGGAAACTTGTATTGCCATTTATTACAAGGGCAAAACGACTAGTTTCTACTCACCATATATCTTCTTTGCCGCGACTTCATCACTCAAGTCTCGTCACCCATGTTGCATGTATCCGTCATCGCCACAGCTCATGTTGCAACCTGGATTCAAAGTTTGCACTGGTGAACAATCAAACTATGACAATGCATTTTACATATATCTGGGCACGTGGATATGTTAAAGGGAAGGACAGAGGGAAAGATAAGAAGTCTGACAAAGGTATAGCTTATGTGCGAATGGTTGTATATACCAATTATTCAAGTAGGTGTTGAGATGTTGATGGTTGTGAAACTTGGTCTCCTATTCTCAAGGAAAAATAATGATTACAAGTAATTGGTAATGAGGTAATTGAATGAAAGGGAATAGAGAAATTACATAATAGGAAACTTTGTTATTTATAAACCTTTCCTAATATTGCTTAATGAAGTCTTTGTTTAGGAAAGAAGAAAGTTGCAGTAAATGATGAACAACTTGCAGAGTTAATAGAAATTAATACAATGAGAAAACAGATGCAGCAAGCAGTTGATCGGCTGAAAGAAGAATATGTGAAAAATTTGTCTCTTAGGTCAACAACAGGTATGTGATCGCATATTAACCTTTATCGACTTTGTATCACGGCTCACATACATTTTGCTGTGTGTTGTAGCGTGCAGGATATCCATTGCCCTCATGATGTTGGCAGACTCTACCAGACTACATAGTGCTTCAACCCCAAAGACAGCCATCTTCACCATTGTAATATCTACATGAATCGATCAATTAATGGAACTAATGAAACGAAGGCATGATTTTTATAGCAGTTACAGAGGATTGCTGTACATCAATACAGTATGATGATGACATATTGAAAATTATTGTATTCTGTATCATATTACAGGGTCAATCGAGACACTTCCAGTGAGTTTTGAAGGCAAGGAGTATCAATTGCAAGAATTGGCGCAGATAGTACGTAAAAATCCCAAAACAATCATCATAAATATGGCTGCATTTCCTCAAGTTATTCCAGCTGCCCTTCAGTCTATTGAGAAGAGCGGCATGAATTTAAATCCTCAGCAAGATGGTACTGCACTGTTCATACCAATTCCAAAGTGAGTTAGTGCAACGCTCCAGAACCAAAGTCTTTCCTTACAGGACTGATACATTACCCAAAACTTGTCGTAGAGGCTAGATGATTTTAAAAGTATTTTTCAAGCCGCAGTCTTTTTAAAGGCTAACATGTTTTTAACCTGGCAGGTCTCTAATTGAAATGCAAGTCATGTGTTTTTTTACTAATTACTGAATCACATACAGTTGAGTGTCAGCGAGCGTTTGGCAGAGAAATATTAATCCAGAATATGGTGTAAAATGAATGTTGCACCCGTCTATATTTACAGGTTTTGGTGCATGTTTAAATGCTACAAGATAAACCACTTGCAGTGAGTCTTTTTGCAAGTGAGACTCAGGTGAAAGAGTCAGATACTACTCCCATCATGGCTGACCCATAACGCATAAGTTTGCTTTACGGCCGCACCACCTAGGAACCTCGCTCTACATGCTTTTGCTTATGGATATTTCAAATTGATAACATATCAGTACAATATGTCCACTAAACTATGCAGTGAACTATTATGAGAAATAGCCCCTTTTCATTCTGAAGTTTCATAGTCTGAAATTCATATTAGCGTGAAAAACAGTCGCATGTTTATCGTGATAATTACTGTCCTATTTGTTATGTATATTTCAGGGTTACTAAAGAACACAGAGAGAATCTAGCAAAAAATGCTAAAGCACTCTTTATAAAATGTAGAGATTCTATAAAGGAAATACAGAACAAAAATGTGAAGACTGTGAAAAACAATTCCACCGTCTCACAGGATTTAGCGTTCAGTGCTCAGGAACAGGTTGGTAATTATGCTTTAATATATTTTTATGAGGATTTTAAAGAAAATGTTACATTCAGGAAGAAATTTAAGAAATCAAACATTTCAAGCTGTTGAAACAGAGGTTCATCTATACCCATCGCTGCTGTAAATTGTAATAAGAGATAATTTTTTTCTTTAACTTAAATTTCAGATTATCGAGATCGGTAACCAATATATATCTCAAGGAGAGATGATATTTGATGCCAAGCAAGCTGAATTAATTGGAAAAGACTAACAAAATATGGATATGAAAACTTCTGCGAAGATCATGTCACTATGTCATAAATTAGAATACTGAATTTTGTATGATTTATTAGAAATAGTAATTAAAGCACATTGTGTGTTTGTAAGATGGTATAATTGTGCTAACTGGCTGTAGTCAGACAACTGGCATATGAATTAATAGTTGGATTTTTATTTCTGTGGCTGCTATGTACCATTCCCTCTCTGGCCCAAACCTCTCTCTTCTTCATTAGATTTTATTTAAGGACAGTCATTATTATTCAAGCCTTCCTTTTACAGTCAACTCTAAATTTTTATCAAAAGTAACAATAAAAAGCATTAGGTTATTCAGGGTCAAAGTATTAAATGGACATTAAATTTACATCTCAACTACTGAGGCACCTTCAGGATTGAGGTTTTCTGTAACTACTTGAAGTAGCGTACTTAGCAGGTTATGTTGACTTCAGTGTTTTACATTTATTGTAAAGGAGTAGGGGCTTTAAACCCCCTGTATTACAGCGCTGCTAGAGAAACATTCTGTTCCACTGTCCTCTAAAATTTTGGCCTCCACCGACGAGTCTACACTGTGCCGAAACTCAGAATAACATCTTACTGTTGTTACTTGTCTGATATCTGCATTCCAGTTGTGGTGTAACCATTCAATTGTACTACCTTCTTTAAAGGAAAGTCTTTGTTGCAATACCATATAAATGTTGTGCCATGTAGACATGTAGGTAGATACCAACAAATTTCACACATTCAAAACATGTTAAGAAAACCTTCTTGACCGACTGAAAGCACTGCAGAATAAAATATTTATGACGTACACAATTATATAGTTTTTATTCAGTTTCCCGCTAGATAGATGAATACACTTCACTTTTTCTCACTAGAGGCGCACGCTTTATGCATAGTACGAACTTTCCTCACTAGATAGAGCGATGATGAGCAGCTGCAGTGCTGCTGCTGTGACGTAACATAAGAATATATGAACACGCAACAACGGCGAAGGGGCCACAATTAGTATATAGAGTCTTATTTCCACATGATACAGAGTGGCCGCTAATGGTCGCGCCATACATTTGAATGAGCCACTTTTCCCACGACGACTTGGTCGCACTATCAATGAAATAGCATTCCCAAAGAGCGTTTTCACACGACCATCTTGTGTTTTATAAAGTAAAGTAAAGTTTGTCCCGCTATACGCCATGTAGGCGTTTGGGGTGAGAGGAGGTATAGCTCCTCTCTTCCTTGACCTCGGCACTAGATGGGGGTGAGTGGTCTGCATCACGCCCCGGCCGGCTTTACCCCCGGGAAAGGACCCAGTGTTTTATGAAGTATATTCTGAATTTTTAAACATTCGTATTTGATTTATTTCGTGTTTTCAAAGGCTTTTGCACTTTTGAAGAAAAAGTTTCGTAAAAATTATATTTAAAAATTCAGTTGCTGTAGAAAAGGAAACATAACGCGACACCATTACAAAGATTAATTTGTTGATACTGTTTGAATAAATGATCACTGTTTACTCTGAAAATAATTTGAAGATCTTTTGTGGGCTTAATGCAAAGCTGCTGGTTGTTACGTTGGATGATACAATCTGGGTTGGAGTCGAGAAACGCAAAGGCCCTTAAAATTTCGGTTAATATTATTACTTTCTTCATAGGCCTTAGTCAGAAGATTCCGTCGGAGTACTTAATATAATTCGAACACGAGAGCAACTACGACGTTATCAAACAGGTGAAAATATTCACAAGGGTACCAACACCTAATTAGCGACGTACAGAGCGTCGCAGGCGGTGGGTGGTAACGTGGGCTGGTTAATAGGAAAACTATCGCTGGGGCGAAGCGCTAAAATCGAGCCCTGACGACAATTCAACGAGTATTTCCCGGCCTCACCCCCTGGCACCGAGAGGGCATGCAGGTAGGCCTACCCAACCACAAATGCACACGGCGTCACAACCCAGAAGACCGACGCCGTCAATTACAGTATTGTTTTAAACCTAAGAGATGAGACTCATAGCTCAGTCTGGCATCCTGAGTTCTTGCGTAGATGGTCATAAATTGAGTTGGAATTATTTTGTTTCTTGTAATTATAAATATGTTACTCTTCATTATTTTTCGAAGTAGAAGTAGCAGTAGTGGTTTTGTTAGTAGCAGCAGACAGAAGAACATCGTCTATAACCTCAGTAAAGTTGCGGTCCACGTTAAATTTTTCGGATGTGATCTTAAAGCTTCGCACCGTCGCCATGATTATTATCGCTGACTAATATAAACATTTCACAGTATTCAGTATTAACATTTCTTACTATCTACACAACTTTTAGAATGAAACAATATCTTATGGCATCTGTACGTTTCGACAAAAATGTGCAAACATCAGACCAATACTTTTGTTTTCTTATGATACTAAGTTCATGTCTTAACTTTAAAATATTTTGCAAAAATATATTCGTACAGACTTGGCTTCTAAAGCGTTCGAGAAATATTGAGAATGAAAGGGGCATTGGCTCCAACGTCCCTAACAATAGGTGTAAGTAAATTTTTAAATTTGTAGCAGTGACATTTTGTCTAGAATTTAGGTTCACAAAAAATCATCTTATATTGCCACCATAAGTCAGATACTGAAAGGCAACGAAACTTATTCCTAGCCGTTTTTTCCTCGCAAAAATACGAGAACGTTTAGTAAGTAATAGAGTGACCCAAAAGGTTGTTATACAAACATCCATCATTCATCGTAAAACTGTCAACTTGTTTTACAAGAAGTATAAATGTTAATATTGTAACGATATTCGCAGAAGGTTTTAAATTTAGGTCTATTCACATAGTTTCAAAATATCCTATAAACAGAAAATGAGCCAGAAACTTGCAGCTTTTAAAGCAGTAGCCAATTGAAATTCTGACACATATAGATGACTGAATCCAGAAGCGAATTAGAACAGCTTGCTGGTGACTTCTTAAATTACTATGCACAAGCTTGAGATCAACACATACGGCACAGGTAGACCTGTTGAAATAAGGATTGTCATCAAACTTAAAGAACTAAAGTACAAGAAATCTTACCTATTGTTTTGTATAGGCATAAACTTGGTCCCTTACATTAAGGGAAGGACACAGAATGGGGGTGTTCGAGAAAAGAGCGTTGAGGAAATAACCTTTTTTTTTGGCGAAAGGGAAAGGAATAGGAAGTTAATGAAAATTACGTCATGAGGAGTTTAATGATACTTTTCATTTTGGGTTGGGGGGGGGGGGGGGGGGGTAGGCCTAGAGAGCTTACAAATCAAAGAAAATGAGATTAGAGGGGCATGTAGAGGTGTATCGATGTAAGAAAAGATGTGAAGTTAAAAATGCGCTGTGCTCGTAAGTCGAATGCTGCAGCCGTGTGTGCAAAGCTGAAGACCATGTCCAATTTTTCGGCAAACTTGGGAAAGACGAGAGATATGGAGAGGCCGACAAAACTTCGTCCAGAAAACCTGACCTCTCGACCACTAAGAAGGTGAAGGTGTACGTGGAAGGGTGTCCAGCGACGATCTACGTATAGAGGTTCTCTAACAGGCGAGGAATTTCTTGACCAGCTGAGTTTCAGAAGAAATGTGTGCCATGGAGTTAGTTAATTTTAAGTGAAGCAGCCCTGACAAAGAGGACACCGCTGTCGCAGAGTTAACTGTGACAGCCATCTGCATTTACATACACCCGGCCCTGAACGGAACATCAGAAATCCTCCTCACTTGCTTCCTCTACACAGAAAGTAAGTTCCGAACCGTTCGGATAAATCCCAAGTGGAACACCGTACGACAGTCTTAACTGTTTCTGAAGTTGTTCCTTCCGACCATAGAGAAATTTATACCCTTTTCGGAACGACATGGAAAGAGACATAATGAGGAGCAGTGAAGTTGAATGGCTCGAATAAGAATATTGCAAGAAGAGAAGGGTTTATCAGCACAGAGCAGCGGGAGAGACCAACAGTAGTTTATTGGCAGACTGGGCCTCTGTCTGGCTGTTACGGTGTTGCATCCCGCGCGAACAGCTGATTGGTCCAGTATGGAAGTTGCGCCAGAGGAGGAGTCATCTGTCGGCGGACTCCGCCCCGCCGTCCTGGAGACTATGTCCTGCTTACGGTCGGCGACGTCGTCGGCGGAAGAATACAAGCCAGGGAAAGAACGTTTCGAGAGAAACTCCTATCGCCCCTTTGCCACGCGCGAAGGTGTCGGGGGTTGAGGACTGGGAGGGAGACGGGGGTAGAATGCGTGAGCAGAGATAATACATGCTAGTATTTCTGTATGGAAGTAGTTTCCCTTCGGGAAGACGGTTTTAACCATATAGTTGTTAAGATTATATTTCCTACAACGACCTCGACGGCGGAAAAGAAGATGCTTTTGAGATGTCTTCCCCTGGTAGCTTAGAGGATCCCACGACACTGCAGTCTCCAAGAGGACAGCTTTGCTGAGATTTCCAGAAATACGTAGTAGGAAACGTGAAAATTACCAGGAGACTTAACAGAAATAAAGTGCAAAATCATTGCGCAGGTGAGTTCGCTTAATAAACATATTCTGACGCGAGGCATGCCTCCCAAATACACTAACGAATGCGACACGTGGTTACTTCTCTTTCATAAACAATTATATTGTTGGCGTTCTTTAAAAAACTTCTATGGCCGGTTTTTCCTATTTAATAGTGTTTAGAGTAACTGTAGCCTGTGTTTCCCGACAACATTATATCTGTTTAAAACTTTGAAGCTGAAACTTCTAAATAACATTTAAGAACTCAATCCGTACCGCAAAGAAAACACCACATTTCACCATTATAATCAGTCGGTTTATGCTGTTTAGAGAAATAGTCGCTGTTTATAGTGATAATCATACGAAGCCCATGAATAGAAAATGCAGACTTGCTGATTATTAAAGCATTGGTATGTGCAGATCTAATTACCAACGAGTGTTAAATGTAAAACCAACTTACGCCACTACCTACATGCGTAGGCCTTGAGCATTTCTGGCAACAATTAAAAGATTTAGTATGTCAGTGTTAAATACTGGCTATGAGACCTCATTACAGTCTCCTGGATTTCTTTAGACCTGGGCCTTCGTGGTTCTTGAACACTGTCAATAATTTCAACATTATGTCTACTTACTTGAACAATTAAAAACTTCGTTATGACATAGTATACAATGAACAGCATAGTAACAACTATTATTATTATTATTACTGAATTATTTTAAGCTAGTATTTTTTTTACTAGAGATGCTCTACGCCTACGGCTTATAGATAGTAAACGTAAGTGTTATTTAATTTTTAAAAAAACCCACTGCTAATTAGGCTTATACGTTATGTGCCAGCTACTTTAACAATCAGGAAGTACACTTTTTGTATTTATGGCTTTCGTATCATTCTCAATATATACTTTTATATTTATGGCTTTCGTATCATTCTCAATGTAAATATCGATTACTTATTTAAAAAATATAAGCAGTTGACCTTTTTACCTCATTAATGGTGAACCGGAGTTTTATTTGTGGTAAGGACTATATTATATACTGTAACGAGGAACAGCAACCTAACCTAACCTAACTTTCAGATATATCATAGACTAGGCATAGTAATTAATCCTAGACATGATCTATAAGTCATAAATTAGCTGCGAATAAAAATCACATTATTAATTCTGAATCCAATATCTTTATCTACCTTCCTGAGTACAGCGTAAGTTCATTTAAAATAAGTATAAACATTTTCGAAACAACCCTTCCTGTTTCTCTGTTCTACAAACGTACTACTTTATTTACTTTGTAAAACAACCCTATTGTAACTTACACCGAGGTTGTGTTAACTGCTAAATTTTTTTGACTGCTTGTGAAATTACGGAGTTGAGAAACACGATCTACGTCCTCGAATTAATACAACTCTTTTAACAATTTACGTTTCTAGTAAGCCTATAGACTTCTACCGATTAGAACTTCGCTACTTCTTCAGAAATAAATGCGCTACATATTCTTACCGCATACGGTCACTATAATGCTATATTATTGAACTTTAATTAAGTAATAGAAGTGTGTGAACAGCAGTTTTCTGTAACAAATGTCTCCAAATATTGATTATAAGCGTTTGTAATAGCATAACCTTCATTGAAGATGTTTGTATTTTGGATTTTGCGCTATAAAATTTGGTAGAAATTTATCGGCGTTTCAGACGTGATTGCATCCTTGCTACAAGAATTATCGCCTTCATGACGGAAGCTTAAAGCACCTCTGAAAAGCCGATAACCTTCTACCAGACTGCACGGCGCCACCAACCTAAGATACAGCCATCTTCATATTCGCCTTCATGAGAACTTGAAATGAAGCAACCGATGTTATTTGTAATGCCTAAATTTAATTTATTACTGTATAAGTTAAATACCAATCAGTAGGCCACTCCTATGCGGGTGTTTACGTCACAAGCTGAATAGTAGGAACATGTGTAAACCTACAGCAAACAGATTTAGATATTTACAGTCATTCTGTAACAACATTTGTAAGGAAATTTAATACTCACGATATTAACTTTTTAAGCCTGCTAAATATGGAGTGCTCTATTCTTCATGTTCGGAGTTCATGTACGTCTGATATGTGCCTTTGGTAGGACCAACAGACCATCCTGGCTGTCGATTTTGGTCTTCTGGTTTGTAACGCAGTGTGAATTTATAGATAGATACCGACGTTTCGGAGAAACATGCTGCCTCCATCTTTAGGGCTGGCCCATACGGCGGTACAAATCAGAAGATCAACGTCCACAGCTTCACCGCTGTGAGAATATTAAATACAATCCAGGCTCTGCTTTTCGGAATGCTGCATCCTTCAGTGATATTCCAGAACCGATCCGCAGCGGGTAGAAAAGGGCTGTAGATATGAGTTATTGATAACTGAGTGACACAATGAACTCCAGACCCATATAGGTTTCTTTCCTCCTACACTCGAAGTTAAAAAGTTACGTATGGGAGTCAATATTTTATTGCAGTTCTAAAATATCCGCTTTTCATTCGTATTTCCCCTTCTATCGCATCTACTATAGACTAACCCTCTATGGAAGCTTTGACGACAAAAAGATGACATGTTACTTTTTCCCACATTTTCCGATAGTGAATATGGTCTTTATGTATGGAAAAATGCATTTCAACAAACGATAGATCATACAACACAGGCAATTAATCGTGCAGGAACTTAAAAAGTAAAGCTGTCCCACTATACGCCATGTAGGCGCTTGGGGGGGAGAGATATAGCTCTTATTCAGTCTTGACCTCGGCACTAGAAGAGGATGAGTGCTTTACCCCCGGGAAAGGACCCCGGTACCAATTTTTTAAGAGGCTAAGTGGACCCAGAGTCTAGAGGAAAAATCCTCTGCCCCCGTCGGGGATCGAATCCTATACGCAAACATATTTATATTGATCTGCGTTTGAATGGAACAAATTTTAAAACGCTTAGTCTCCATTTTGCCATACTGATTAAACTTAGATTAACTGTAACAGATAAAAGTGAAATATTAATTATTCCCCATTCTGAGCCGATATTAGTAAAATGGAAAGTTTCAGAGCAATACACCTTCTATTACGTTGACCTAGTGAAAATGGATAACAAAGCTGACGAAATGAACAGTAGAATAAAATAAATTAAAAAACTTTTTCCACTTTAAAACCCTAATCTTCGTCCTTTTAGTAAGAAGCCCGTGCAGTAGCCACAAGAGAAGTTGACGCTTTATTTTAAAGTTTTATTATCACGTACTCAGAAATAATTCAGCATTGAACTATGTAATAGTTGGGATTATAATTTTCAAGACGCATGTGTTAGAACGATGTTACGTATAACGGTCTATGTGATGTGAGACTCCGACCGTGAAGCTGTCGATGTTGGTCTTCTGGGTTGTAATATCATGTGGACCTGTAGGTAGAATCCACTCGGCGTCAAAACCCAGAACGATATCGACGCTCACCGAAGTCATTTACAAACATAAAAGAGAGCATTACTCTGTTGGTTGGACCTAATCTGAAGTTTAACTATTTAAATACCACACTGATTATTTGCGAGATACAGAGTGGCATGAGTCTAAATATGTACCGAGAGCTAATACAGTGGTAACAGTAGCCTGTGTCACAAATTTCAGGAGTACTTCTTTCGAATCCCAAGTAGGAACCAGTTACCCTGTCGTCTTTCATAGGTTAACCAAGTACCTATATCAAAATACGTGCCAGGACAGTAATTAAATATCCTACGACCATTTTCTGCCATATCTCTCCTAATTCATGAATCATAATCATCTTTCTCTCGTAATTCGAAGCTTCGTTACTTTAGTATTGATACAGCGTTGTAAAATACGCATATATTAGTCCAAAAGTTGAATATTCTTACAATTATACATATAATAAATCCCATTAAAGTAAATAACAATAAAGAATAAAATAAACTCCGATATTTAAATATCATCAACAAAAACAAAAAATTGTAAACCATAATCAACAAAACTTAAAGAAAATAAGTGACGCAGAAATGTATACTGGCAATCTAATTGTAAAATAACTTAAAATTATTTTAAAATCTGGTCATTCTAATGTGTTAAGACTTAATTCAATATTATGTTCACTTCCCGGAATGACCAGCAATATTTCCATCTACCACCAAGACCAGAACGGCTCTAACCCCAACCAATCTCCTCTTAAAGCTGCCGGAACATGAAACTCGCCATTCGCCCCTATCCATTGCCGAGGATATACCTCCACTCTCCCGCACGTCGTGGAGCTTAATAACATCTTCTAACCTATCTTGTCACGCTCAGGCCCCTGTATCTGTTTCCGAGAGTGCACAAGCCGAATCATCTTGGTATGCGGTTCTGTGTCTGTGTCATTATTGATCAGAGTTGACCTTCATCCGGTTACAGATTGGACGACCGAACACACCACAATGCACGTCACTTGGTGGTTATGAATAAACTCCGCCCACCATCAGTTATTTCGCTGATTTATTACAAATTATGCGTCGCCTACACACAAATGGACAAACGTCATTCCTCCCCGATCACTGAGGGCGGAAGTGATCTGTTCTTTCTAGATGTCCGCAGGTCATACGCCTATATCGTATATCACTTATCAAGCATGAAGCTTTTATTGTAACACCTGAAGTGATGATGGTTTACATTAAAATGGATCTTTCTTTTAAAACAGACTTAAATGCACAAATAATAATATTTAAACATCAATACGTTTAAAGTCTTAAGCGTTGATTTATTTTCTTGTTTGTTTATTATTAATTTACTTTCCGTTAACAGAGTCTTTTATAGACATGATTCAAGCACGTGTCTTTAATTACGTAATTTCGTCTAGACCTAAGTATTTGCCTACGTTTTTTTAAATTATTTTAGTCAGCAGGCTTGCAGTAGAGTAGGTATATGCTAATATAAGCATTTGTACTTGCTGCGAAAGTTAATTATAATTAAATACAATAAACAAAAAGAAGAAAGCAATACTGTAAACACGTAAATCTCTCTTCAACACGTAGAAGTT